GTGTCCCCTGCCTTCACCCTGAGTCAGCTGGGATAGACTCCAGCCCCCCATGACCCTAGTGAGGATTAAGTGGTGTATAGATAATGGATGGATCTAGCTTATGTTAAATCTTTTTTTTAAATGATTTTGCTGTGATAATTGTGTCAAAAGACATTTCTGGGGCGCCCCGATAGCTCAACAGGTCGGGCAGGTGACCCATGAACAGGGCTGTAGCTGTAGCAGAAGCTGTGGGTTCAAGTCCGGCTCATGACCGTTTACTGCAGGTCCGTCCTCGACTCTTCTCCCCATATTTCCTGTCTCTTTGGCTAAAAAGCCCAAATAAATTTTAAAAAGACATTTCTAAACACCCCAACACCGACTGTCTTTCAGAAATCGCCAAAATTTCACAGAAGGTCTGGGTGCTAATGTTCTGTCTGGAAAATCCATCAAATTACATCTTAAAATGTGATTTTGCATCAAAATGATTTTTTTCTACACGTCTCATTTAAAAATTCACCATAAACAAACAGTCTCAAGTAACCAGGTCGTGTAAAAACAAAACAGTCTGCGTTTGTTGGTGCAGCCTTGAAGTCACGACTGACTCAGCTGTGACCAGCAGTCACCTGACAGAAAATCTGAGAGTTTTCAAATGAACTGCAGGCAGTGTTTCCACAGAACAGAGAGGAAAATCAAACCTACTGGGTTAATAAGATAAACGCAGCACGGCTCAGAAACAGTGAACAGAGGAGTGAGTTGTTGGAGACACATCCAGCTGATGGTGGAACATGTTTCTACAGCTGATGAGCAGAGCAGAGAGAAAATAGTTAAATATCTACAGTATGAGGAGACAAAAGGACCACAAAGGGAGAAAACACACCACAAACAAGACACAGATTGACATAAATGAGACACAAAACAACAAAAACGCAACACTAAACAAGAAAAACAGGACACAAAACAACAGATAGGAGACAAAACTGTCCCCAAGAGACACAATACAGCACAAATAAGACAAAAAAAAACCTGCAAAAATACCACAAGATTAATAAATGCAGCACGGCTCAGAGAAAGTGAACAGAGGAGTGAGTTGTTGGAGACACATCCAGCTGATGGTGGAACATGTTTCTACAGTCTGTGGTGGAGAAATGTTTCACTACTGTTCTTCTGTGACATGAAGGTGTGTTGGGGACATTCACTAACTCACTTTATTCTACGTGTCTCTTTTTTTTTTTTACCAAAAAATAAATTATTTGCTCCAAGCAGATTCTACAAAAAACAAAAAATTCTGCCCTCCTTGGTGCAGCCATAGAGCCCTGAACGACTAAAGTCTGACCAACAGTCGAAGGACAAAAAATCTGAGAGTTTTCAGATGAACTGCAGGCAGTGTTCAGACAGAGCAGCTGTTCTTCTGGTGTCATCCTGCTCAGGAAACGTTTCTACGTCTGGTCCTCATGTTTCCTCTTTATGTCTCAGTTAAAAAAAACATCCCACAGCGAGTAAAGACGCAACAGGAGCAAAAAGAAACGTCCACAAACTGCAGCTTTGGGCTTCAGAGGGTTAAAACCAGAAGAAGCTGCTGCTGGAGGAGAAAATGAGTTCATTTCCTCGTCTCTGTCGTTCTGTTTTTAGAGTCCGAAGAACCAGCAGGTGGCGCTCACCTCGGCCAATCAGAGGCCGCGGAGCTGCGCTGTGGGCGGGGCGGAGGAAACGGGCTCCGAGCCGAGATAAAAAGTAACGAGACGCGTGGAGCGGAGCGGCAGAGGAGTCCGACAGCAGCCGGAGCAGCAACAGGTCCGGAGCCGCAGCGGGAGCGAGGAAGAGGAGCAGCCGCGGCGCGTTCACGCTGTTTGGAAACTTCCTGGATATGGAGCCGAGTTCAGGCAGCGTGGGGAGCTGCGAGGCTGCAGCCTGGGAGGCTTAGACAGGCAGGAAGGAAGCCTCTCACCCCACCTCCTGCCCCGGCCTCCTTCCTACCCCGGGCCGAGGAGACGCTCCGCTTCCTGGTGTGAGCTCAAGAGCCGCGGCGCCGCTCGGAGACCCGCAGCTGGAAGTTGAAGGAGGAGGAGGAGGAGGAGGAGGAGGATGGTGGAGGGAGACAGCGGCCGCCGGCAGCTGACCCCGCAGCAGCAGCAGCAGCAGCAGCAGCAGCAGCTCCTCCGCCCGTAGAGGAGCCACCGAGGCGGCCATGGAGCAGCAGGAGGAGCCGCAGCCCGAGCAGCAGCAGGACGGAGCCGAGGAGGCGTCCAGCTCCACATCCACCTCCACGTCGTCCCCCGCAGCCTCCAACACGGAGCCGCCCCCGGAGACCCCGGCGGCGCCCCGCTGCCAGCACAACAGCAGGACCTTCACCGGCCTCAGGATCTTCTGCAGGAGGTGAGTCCGCTTCACCTGCACACACACCTGGACACACACACACTCACCGGGACACACACACACCTGGACACACACACACTAACACGCACTCATCTGGATGCGCTCACCAGGGCGCACACTCACTTTTACTCACTTTCACACACACACACCTGGACACACTCACCTGGACACACTCACCTGGACACACACTCACCTGGACACAC